CGCAGAGCGACAAAGACAAAGACCGGCCTTTGGGCGCACAAGGCCGGCGCGAGCCAGCGATGTACATGGGACGAGACGACTCGGCGTGGCGGGATGCAAAGCGCGGCAATGACGGCGAGCAGCAGGCAAAAACAAGACAAGTAAGGCGGACAAAGATAGGAAAGGAAGGAAGAAAACAACGGGAGTGACCGGTCAACTTCATTAATGCCGGGATAGCGCGGCGTGCTTCGGCAGCTTTGCAGATCGACGGATCGATGCGAGCAGGGGCTGACCATCTTTCTTAAAGGCAAAAGACAGCGGCAGCGTAGCAGCAGCAAGGACGCTCGCACAAGGCACCGAGCGCAGGACAACAATGGCATGGACAAGACAATGAATAATTACCATACAACATGTACGTTGTACGCCAGGAAAAATAAATGAAGCTACCGCTCTTTCTCTTGTCGGTTCATGCTTATCAAAATAAACCATGAGTATATATATACCATTCTATTCATTAACGGATTTTATTTTATTTATAAAAATTGTTTTTTCCGCTTAATCTAATAGAACAAACCGTTCGCTATCTCTTGGCTAGAATTATCGTACGACATTCCTACATATCTTTACGCACTGAGTAATTCGACTTGGGCGTTTATTTAAGTCTACAAAACTGGGTCACCGGATTCACTTATCACATCAAGCATATTTAAATCAAAAATTCCGAGAAACTCGTTTTGAAAATTTGACTTAGGACCAAATCGCGGTGCTAAGGAAGCTCGTAACACCATAGGTGTTACAGGTCTTAACGACACGGTGGCGGGGCGAAGCTTCAAAATTGAGGCTCGGCTAAGCTGCAATCAAAGTTGGGTGGGGACGGCTGGAGAGGGGACGTGAGGGCAGAGGCGCGGACAAGAGGGATTGATGAGAGGTGACCCCTCGCAGCTGCGGCGCTGGTGCAATTCGACGGCGTCAGGGAGACGAGAACAGAGAGAGAGGGAGCGGTGGGGGAGGGGCAGCCAGCGACTCGGCAAGGGCGTGCCTTGGCGGGACACGGTTGGCGTGACCAGTGCAGCCCGCGGCCAGGCACTAGCCGATAGACACGCACGCTAGCGACCGGCGTGGCCCACGCGCCGCAGTGCCATCAATGGCAAGGCAACGGCGACACGGCCACGGGCGCGCAGCGTAGCTGCAGGCACGTAGCATGGTGATGTGATGGTGGCGGCGGCGGTGGCGTCGCGGCATGGGCGCGGAGGTAGCAGCAGCACCAGTGGTGACCACGGTGGTAGGGGCGATCGGAAGTAGAGCGGATCGACGGCCTAGCGGTGCGGCCAGACCGGCCAAGCCGCGGCAAGGTCACGACAGCGACGGCCATCCGGTGCGCGGTCACACGCGCGCACGGCACAACCACACGGCGATGCGGGTCGGCCCCGCGTGGTGACCACGCGCACGGCGCCAGACAGTAGAAAGTTATGACGTGCACGAATTTTAAAGCGTTGATCACGACCAAACCGTTGCTCCTAAACCTAAACCGGCTTCAGTACACTCAAGATGGCATATGTAACTACTAAATCGAATCATAGCACTACACCACTCCTTTATCCAATCTCTCCAAATAAATTGCTAAACATAACAGCGTCTAGTTGTCCACAGACTTAGAAATTTTCTAAGCGTTTGAGCTAATCTTAATTTCATGTTGCATATCTAAGCTACTGAAAATATTACTTAGCAATATTCTTTTTCAACAGCAAGTATTTCGTTGTCATCTATAAAGTTTACACTTCCAACTTTATTTAAGTATCACACATATGTTCTATAGTATTTTTGCTTAATAAAAATTGGTTTAAAATCCTACTTGATATGCATAAACCATGGCACCAACTTTCATTTAGCATTTTTTTATCATTTTGAGTTTCAGAAATTGATCTACACACTTCACCACATGTATTAACACACAAGTATGATGCTCATGACATGTTTTAGTAGATGATTAATGGGTAACACCAAGGGTGTTCCAACGGTCAGGTTCCACCCAAGTCACTCATAGAATAAGTGCTTCATTCACTCTAAATTATAAATCATTTTAATCTTATCCTAAATTGAACTTTCTTTAACATATGACCAAGTCTATACATCACCGGGTTACCGTGACCGAAAACCCAAAAACCCTAAGCTTATTCGTTGGTTGGTTTATGAACTGATAAGTCCGACCAGTGCTGATTTGTTTTGAGAGAAAAACACTGTTGGTAGTGATAAGCCGATAATTCAACCAACGAATGAATCTTGGCCCCAAGCCAGACCCTCAACTTCTTCGGTGCAGAACACATTGTGGACTCATCGGTCCCAAGCCAGACCCTCAACTTCTTTTGGCGTTTAGATTGGCGATTTGCTGACACATCGTGGAGAAGCTTTTGAGCAAATTTTACTATGGATACAAATCAGAAATTTCACACATAACAGTTTTGTACCCACATTTATATTTGAAGACAGAAATCAAACGGAGCTGCCGTGTTACCTAGGGAACACTTTATTTCTACAGTCCTGCAACTGCAGTAGTTCTACACTACGCCAGCACTGCTAGTACGAGCACAGCAACCATTTGACGAAAGCCATAACAGCTGGACTTCTGAAGCTCCCGTGCGTCTACGGGTCCACTGATCCAGCCGTGCCAGTCGCGTACGTACTCGGTTACTGCAACTATTGGGTTATTGACTTAAAAGTTATGATTTATTAGCTAATAAAAATATTTTTTTTTCATATCAAACCAATCAATAATATTTTTAGCCAGGTGTTATAAGCCAAATGAAGTAAAACGAAGAGGTCCTACGAGTCTACCACCACTACGTTGGCCCCATCCCAGTACCAGCAGCAGATGTTTGACGCAACTGCGGGAGACTGGCACTCCGGCGACACGACGTGCGCCCTGACTTCCCGGCCCAAAGTTAATGGCGTTCTGGGATGGTAAACCGTAAACACGAATAATCGCCCTGGTTCGGTTACTCCGTCCAAATTTTACACCCTATTAAATTAAATGTTTGACACATATATAGAGTATTAAATATAAATTAAAAAATAATTAATTGTACGGATTATGACTACGGTGTGAGACGAATTTTTTAAACCTAATTAGTTCATGATTTAATAAAAAATGCTACGGTACACATATATGCTAATAACAAATTAATTATATTTAATAAATTTGTCTCGTATTTTACCAACGGATTCTAATTCGTTTCTTTCGATGACGTGCGGCGCACTGGTGCCTCGTGCGAAGCCGCGTACAGGTACAGCAGGTCGTTGCCGCATGCAGGTCAGCAGCAGGTAATAGCTACCCCGGTAGTGCCGCCCATGGCTTGGAGGCCTGGTTCGTTCGTACGTCAGGATTGGATTTCAAAACCAGTCCATTCGGTTGGCAGAATTTTAACCAAAACTGTCTTAAAATACTATTCTAACTAAATTATTATAAAAAAAGAATATTGGATGTGCGTTGTTGCCTTCAAAAGAAGCTGGCAACAAGCCCATCGAATATCTCTACAGCCACGTCGTTGTAGTGGCATGCGATGCATATCGAAATTACATACTGCCAAACTGGAAGTTGCGATTTCAAAACATCTGTAGGAGAAGCATGCACGGGTTAATTTGGCAAACTGAGAATCTGAGATGGATGTGCGTTGTTGCCTTCACGAGGCTGGCAACGGGAAGCCCATCGCGCATCTCTCTTACACCCACGTCGTTGTAGTGTGCACCACATGACGACTGAAATCCTACAGGCGTCGCAACGCTGAAATGCACATGGTACCGCTTGCCAAGAACGAAGGGGGGCGCTCCTTCATGTCTTTCCGCAACAAGGCGCTGCGTGGATGTGCGAGTAGAAAAGGCGCGGAGGAATCAGGAATCCGCACCGACTCACCGAACGCACGCCGTCCATCGACCAAAGAGCCAGCCGCCTGCTCCGTGCCCCCTGCACCAGCACAGCCTGCATGGGCGTCCAGCTATGTCCTCGCAGGCGCGCATCCGTCACCGCTCACCAGAGAAGCATGTCCCCGGCAAGGGGCAGAGGTGACACGGGCTGGGACCCGACAGCACGTGATCTGCTCCTTCATTGACAGGGCGCCTGCGAGCTCCGAGGAGATCAATTTGTTGTTGCTAGACTATTCAAGCATTCCTGAATCCTGAGGCCTCAAACCGTGACAACAATGGCAAACAAGGCCAACAGACGACAGTAACATTCAGGCGACAGGGCAGCACGAGGGCACCGGAGCACTGGATAATACTTTGTAGTACTGTGCAGCCGTGCAGGCTGTGTCGTGCGTGATGTTACAATCTCCGGCTGGCTAGCCGTGAAATTCTTAGCTTTTCGTCTAGTACATAATAGGTTAATAACTACATTATATATGTGAATCAGATTCAAAGTCGTTCGGTTCAGCTGCAGACAACCTCTGCAGTCTGCACACTTTGGATGAGCAATAACGTGATCCAAAGCTTTGTCACTGGCATTCTTCTTCGACCTTATTTGGATGAGCTTGTATTTACTTTAATCCATATATGTCGAAGTGGATTATGATGAAACTTAATTTAATTTTAATTTAATCCACTTTACTGCACGTGGATTACGATGAATACGTCCAAATCAGTCCTCTCCGGATTTTGGATAACGAAGACTTCGAGGAACAAAAGTTACGACTTTGACTGCATTAGGATTCGATCGGTTGTTGACAAGAACAGAGCCAAAAGCTACGACTTTTTGCAATTCAGAACGCCCGGTTTCAAATCAAATCTCTTGAAAGATGCCGGTGAACGAACACGAACAGATTGGGACAGATTGGCTCCAGGACGGTATTTCCATTTGTCTTGTTTGCTGGCTAATAAGCTATAGCTAAAATAACTATTGGTTAATTTTTAATTTGTTGTAAAAAAAATACTATTTATTGGCTGAAAAAGTACCGCTTATAAGTTATGTTTTGTCCAAGCACGCGAGCTGGGATCAAATTCTGAAATTTTCAATTCTAGTGGTTCAGCGGACATCAGAAGCCCGGGCTGAGAATGTTGAGCAAGGACACTCTGGTGTTGACCAACGCTCGGAACACCTTCTCGCCGCTGCCGTCGACGTTGGCGATGCACCGCTCCAAGTTCTCGTGCCGCTCGAACGACGCCTTCCGCGCCCTCTCCTCGGGCTTCATGCGCGCCTCGGACCGGAGCTGCACGGTGGAAGACTCGTCCTCGTCGTCGCCGCCGTTCTGCTTCTCGGCGGACCGCCGTTTGGCGCGCGACATCCAGCGCACAAGGTCGGCCACCCACCATATGCAGTGGCGGCTGCTGGTCCTCGGCGCGTCCGACGAGCCGCCGGCGAGTCTCGCGGGGGCGGCGGTGACCCAGCAAGGCGTGGATGCGACCTCGACGCGGGCGGAGGCGGCGGAGATGGAGAGCGAGGAGAGGCCCGAGAAGACGGCCGCGGAGCCGGACGCCACGGCGACGGTGGCGTCGGCGACGGCGGCCGCGAGCGCCGCGGTGTCCGCGGGGAGGCCCTCGGGGAGCGGCGCAGGGGCCCTGGCGGCCACGGCGCGCACGGCGGCCGCGAGGCGCGGGAGGTCGAGCGCCGCGCGCCGCTGCGCGCGCGACGCGGACGCCAGCCTGGCCGGGTCGCCGCCGCGGCGCAGCGCGGCGCGTGTCTCGGCCTGGAGCGCGGCGAGCGCGACGAGCGCCTGGCGGAAGCTGCCGTGCGCGTCAGCGAGGCGGAGGAAGTCGTCGAGGAGCCGCTCCGCGAGGCGCGGCCACCGGCCCAGGCGGCGCAGCGGCTCCTGCGCCTGCGGGTGGTGCAGCAGCTCCGAGAGCGAGACCAGGACACGGCACACCTGCGACGCCGCCGCGGACACGGACGACGCCGACGGCGGCGGCGGCGGCGGTGAGCCCGCGCCCGCGAACGCGGACGGGCTGCGGGGCGGGGACGACTGGCCGATCACGAGGCGCAGCGCGGCCACGTCGTCGTCCAGCTGCAGCAGCAGCGGGTGGAAGCGGCAGGGGAGGCTGGACGACCGGATGCGGTACGTGGCCAGCTTGTCGCTCGCGGTCGCCAGGGCGAAGGCGCCGTCCGCCGCGGGCTTCGGGGCCGGGAACGAGATGGCGCGGCGGTACCCGGCCATCATTCGTGGGTGTGTTGTTCCACTGCCTTTTGCCGTGCCGACTGGGCGGGTCAGAAGAGGCTGTGGGTTTTATAGGTGGAGCAGCAACTCGCGAGGAAGGCGTGCGCGTTGTGTTGGCCGGCTGGAGACCTGGAGTGGCTGCAGCCTGCAGGGCGGCGACGGGCATCGTTTGTGTCGTTGCGAACTCGCAGTCAAGGGTTGTTCCGTTACGTTGCTATGCCGTTTTCGTTTACTCTCGGTGAAAAGTATTTCGTCGATTTATTATAAGAAAAAAATACTATACTATAACAAATAAGCCAGACTAATAAGTTCCCGCGAACCGCCTCTAAGGCTTTTTCGTTCGTCCACGCTGGATCGTCGGGGAGGGTTGGTTCCTGCCTTTCTGGGGACGCACGCGGATCCCCGACCCATATTCCGGTAGCACGCGGAGGAGCGGCGGACAAAGGGTCCACGGCGGAGGCCGGCACATCCGGCGCTCGCACTCGATTTGCGCCGTACACTACTACACCGGCTCATCATCTGCGTGCGACTGGAGTGTCCTGTCCTGTCCCACGGTACCAAAAACTTTCCAATGATCTTTTCGCCAATAGTAAGCGACGAGCCCTGCCCACTCATTGCTTGCTCGTGAGTAGTAGCTAGCTTGTCATATGACATTATTAGACCCTTTTATTTTTGCTTACCACAAGTGAAGATTTGCTGCGTACTAGTTAGCACCCATAAATTAACACTATGACATTAGCAGCAGGTGCGTACATCGACAAAACTAATCAGGCATTCATGCTCATGCAATGGTCAGCAGCACGGTTGCACCAACCCAGCAAAACTTGGACAACAGTCAACCTCACCACCACGAATGATAGAGCTAAACAAATATAACAGCAAAAAACTTCATCTTAAGTAAAGCATCCCCCCTCACTCGCATGAACAAATCAAATACTCTCTTCTTCCTAAAATATAGTGGACTTTAAATTATCCTGAGTAAAACTATTCTAAGTTTAACCAAATTTTTATCAGAAAACTTAATGCTTATTATATTAATTTCGACATCATAAGATACATTATTAAGTATAATTTTATAGTTACCACTTTGTTGCTACAAATGTTAATATTTTTTTCAAAAAAAATTGATCAATCTTAAAGTGTGGTTCGATTTATAACAAACTAAAATATATTTATCTAGTGTGTGTGTGAGGGAGAGAGAGATTGTGGTAACTTGGTAACATAGCTTACCACTCAACTTACAAAAGCACGACGCCAAAAAGAAAGGACACTTTTTTTGTGGCTCCGTGCTTAGGTTCTAGGTAAAAACATTGAGTTCCACATATCGAAATTTGGAATTCAAAGTTGATATATAGCTCAGCATTCAATTATAACTTGCAGATCAGAAATCAAAACCAAGTTTGAATTCAAACTTCAAGATCTAATACACAGTTGGCGTTTAGTTATTGGTTTTCATACAGAATGCCTTAATTAATCTCCAGAATGAAATTAGTCTATTTACAATTCGAAATTCAATTTCCTATGTTAATTAGAAGCGATTGGACTGTGAAATATCTTGTGACAAACTAGTGAAAGACTTCGGTTAGTTTGGCTAAGGTAATTTTTTTAGGAGAACGGCAGGGAAGGCCCCTACCTAACTTTTATATATATAAAAAAGGAGAATATTTACAAATTACAAGGTTTGGAGAGCCCAAGAAGAAAATCCAAGAGTACATTAAGGGATATTCTCGCGCCACAAAGAAAGGGGGGCTGCTATACCATGCTTGGCCTTGATACACACCAATCCAAGCTCATCCTTGAAAGCTACGGCCCAAGAGGCTAAAGTGTTTGCCTTGCTGTCAAAAATGACCCCATTTCGAGTATTCGGCTAAGATTAATTGTTCTGCTGTATAGGAAATGCATCTTGTTGTACACGCATATAAGTTATAATAACTTCCTAGCTATTTTCTCCCCCTTAGCCGAGTATACATATATATCAGGTACATACTCCTTTGCGCCGTTTTGTGAACACGCAGCCGTCCTACGACCCAACTCCAGGCGCCCTTGGTGTTCACAGGGACCGAAATGGATATCCTCCAAATAGAAATGGACCGTGTGTGGTTGTGCAATGTGCCTGCTGGCCTGGTCAGATACTACTACCCCAGGTATCGTTTTGTTCAACTAAGGCCCCGTTCGCGTGTCCTTAAACCCGACTTGATCCGCTTTTTTTTTTATCCGGAACCGTGTTTTTCTCTCATAAATTCCTCCAACATTGCTCCAAACCATCCAAATTCCTCCAAACGAACAGACCCTAAATGTCCAAATGGGTGTGCTGGCGTCATGACCGTCGTCATTGTAATCCGAAAAAAATAAGGGAATTTGTTACCAAACTTACTGATATCCCAACGTTCGCTGAGTATGCTCCGTAGAGTTGCCTTGATGAATGATGAGAACACTAATATGGCAAAAGATTCTGCATCGTGCTGTGCTGCTGGCCCTCTTCTTGTGAGTACGTTGAATGTAATAAGTGGGCAGCGCTGTAGATTCCCCTACCCCCTGGGATACTCGCAGTATGACTGTATGAGGCCACGGAATGGAACATGTACACCAACCAGGCAGTCGCTACTCACCAGCCAAACTAGCTAGCCTTCTCGAGCTCCATCGCTACACACACACACACACACACACACACACACAAAAAGCATCCAAATGGATAAACTGATAAGGCGAATATTCCCGCCATTTTACGCTCTGTGCATCACATGGTTTGCTAGAAGCCTAGAACTATGTTTACACGTGGAGCATGAGAAGTCGTTTTTATAGGGAACACGAGCTCGCGCGAAGGGACGAAGGCGAGATTGCGACGCCAGTTTTTTTTGCCCTCCGGCTCGGAGGCTCTTGAATGGCCGATCAGCTGCTACTGAAATGCCGAATCTGACTTGACCTAGCTCCGCCGCATGCACGGCTGCACGATTAGAAACACGGCACTCAATAGAGTCATAGCCTAGAACCGTTATGAACGTGAGCACCACGTGATATACCATTGCATACTATCACAAGCGTCGTGTGGTCTGGTCATTTGTCTTTCATACTAATCTGTCTAAAAATTCTTTTTTGCGTGACCACGACTTCACGCGTGTATCATTAAGAAGGAGAGCCAAAAGAACGGCTTACATAACGCAGCTACAAAACCACAGAGCAAGGGTTTGAAACCTAGATGACAGACACAACAGAAAGAAAGGCGTTATGGAGAGGCTCTCCATCACACACCTTAGACCCAACCGACTATATGTGCAAAGTAAAATTACATCAACACAAGGGTGCCAACAAAAGAGATGAAGCCGCGATGGCAATGCATCCACTGAGACGCGATGAGACGACGGCGGCAGCGAAGTATCCGCCCAAGCAACACGGCGGCAAATTATCCGCCAAAGTGAACACGGCAAAGTATCCGCAGTAGGGGGGCCATCACGCCCTTAGCTGTCGGCATGAGGGGGTGGGGTCGTCGGGGGGGGCGCGCCGAAGCGACATTAGTGGCAAAGTATCCGCTCGAGTAGCAACGACGACAAAGCATTCGTCAAAAAAGGACAAAGTATCTGCTGCAAAGAACCAAATGACCACAGCAACACCAAACATGATGGACATACCATTAATTGCGATGAGGAGCTTGAAGCACACACATGTTGTCTGGTTCATAAACCCGGGGTCCCTCATGGACCTGCTTCCCAGCAAAAGCTCAGCCCAGCAGACGACGTAGCGAACGACGCGCATCTCCGACTGGAAGGCCTGGCCAAGGAGGAACGGCGCTCGCTTCCGACTCCGTCCCGCCTCTCCGACCGGAAGGCCTGGCCAAGGAAAGGACAACGCCCGCTTCCGACTCCGGCCTGCCTCTCCGACCGGAAGGCCTGGCCAGGAGGAACGGCGCTCGCTTCCGACTCCGGCCCACCTCTCTGACCAAAAGGCCTGGCCAAGGAAAGAACGGCGCTCGCTTCCGACTCTGGCCCGCCTCTCCGACTGGAAGGCATGGCCAACGCCGCTTCTGACTCCGACCCGCGTCTCTGACAGGGATGCACCGAACCTCTGCTTACAGCTCTTCTCCGACTGGCGCAGTCGGAGCCGAATGGGACCAACCGACCTGGGACGCCCGCTCGGTGAGGACCTAGGAAACGAACGGAGCAAGTAAGGCAGGACGCTTAAGTCAATTGCAATACCAAGGACCGTACCCTGTACACCTATAGGACAGTACCGACAGGGCATGTCAGAAGGGTGCCCTGCCACCTTCTAGGCATGTCTAAAACCCAAGCAGTGTTGTGGGCGCCCTCAACTCCCATACCAGGTGAACACGGTAAAACCCCCCACATGCCTCTAGGCATCAACAGTGTTGTGGGAGCCGTCATTTGCCATACATGGTGAATACGGTAAAACCTCCCACATGTGTCTGACATAAACAGTGTTGTGGGCGCCTACAATCATCCTGTACCCAATGACATGGGCAACAAGACTTAGTAGCATACGTACACTCTCCCTCTCTCACTTGTAAGGCCGTCCCCTTTATCTATAAAATGGGATGCGCTCTCTCCCTAGGGGGGGATTCAATCAATCGACACACGATCGATACACAGACGATTCAACCACCGGGATTCGATCGATTTGGACACCCAACGAACAACTCCAACAGAGCACACACTCAAATACTTAGCGCACGTAGGAGCTCCCGTCTCTCTCGGTCCAGAGTCCGACCGGACCTCTTGCACCCCCCATCTTACTCCCTTTCGTTTGTAACCCCACAGCAAACTTCGAGCACCTGGGCTCAGGAATAAAGTCACTGACCGACTCAAACTGGACGTAGGGCACATTGCCTGAACCAGTATAAACCCTGTGTCATTGAGTGCTAGGCCGTATCCGATCACAACGTACGGCAAAACTACAAATATTTATGTGTTGGTCACTTTCTACACCGACACATGCATAGTACAGGAAGGGGCAACTCCAGCGAGAGAAGCGGGAGATGGGCTGCGGATGTG